TCCATGGTCGTCTAGCTTCAATTGACTCATGATTTCAACTTTGAAATTACTGAAATCTTCACAAAACCCCTTTTGACATTTATGAATTAGTGGTTAAATATAAAAAAATGATTGCAAATACATTTTATTACATTTTACATACATTAGTACCATGTAATTAGTATAAACATGAAAAGAATCATTTTTATTACCTTTAACATTTAGATATGTAATGACCATTTGAAAGTGAATACTAAGTCGTAAATAAAGACACCCTCCTACTCTTTCTTTACTTTTATTACGGTTTTTTAAAGAAAAAAGAAGATTGAACATTGATATCGATCCATTAAAGTAATATTTTTGTCTTATTGAAATATACTACTAAATAACTATTTAACGTTTAATTACTAAAAGAATTTGTCTTAGATAAATGATAAATTTCATTATAGATGAAAATATTAATAAATAACTAATGTAGGATACTGGTGTAGCAGAAGCCTCAGCAGTAGTAGGTCTTAATATAAACAAAGGCAAAAGTAAGGCTCTCCTATACAATACAGAATGCACCAATGGAATTACACTTGACGGAGAAACTTTGGAGGATGTGAAAACATTTACATATCTAAGCAGCATCGTAGGTGAACACGGTGGATCTGATGCAGATGTGAAGACGCGGATGGACAAAGTAAGAGCAGCCTATTTACAATTGAAGAACATCTGGAACTCAAAAAATTTGTCAACCAATACCAAGGTCAGAATATTCAATACAAATGTCAAAACAGTTCTATTGTATGAAACCTGGAGAACTACGAAATCCATCATCTAGAAGACACAAGTGTTTATTAACAGTTGTCTATGCAAAATACTTCGGATCCGTTGGCCAGACACTATCAGCAACGTTCTACTGTGGGAGAGGACAAACCAGATTCCAGCTAAGAAAGAAGTGAGGAAGAAGAGCTGAAGGTGGATAGGACACACATTCAGGAAAGCACCCAAATGCATCATAAGACAAGCCCTCATATAGAATCCTGAAGGTCAAAGGAGAAGATGAAGACCACAGAACAAATTACGCCGAGAAATGGAGAAAGGCATGAGAAGAATGAACAAAAGTTGGGTGAAACTAGAAAGGTAGGCCTAGGACAGAGTGGGTTAGAGAATGCTGGTCGGCGGCCTATGCTCCATTCGGAGAATCAGCCGTTAGTAAGTAAGTAATGTAGGATACCAGACAGTGTATACTTACGACTTAACATAATAATTAAACTCTTGAAATTTAAGCTTTGAATAAGAATTACATTATCATTAAATAACATTGTCTTAATATAGAGAATTACATATTGAAATACAATTATATGAAACAACCGCGTTGATTGTTTAAGCTTTTGACAAGTTGGATATGTTTTTTGTTTGTTTGATCTTTCATTAATTATCTTTGTGACGTAATTCATAAACTGGAATCCAAGGTATTGTGTTCATTCATCAGTTGTCAATTCTCTGCGAGCAATATTTACTTCTATCTACGTCAAGTCATTATCGAATGTATGAATTTTATTAAGTGTATAGGGTTTTAATGTTTGTATTTATTCTGTTTGGATGAATGTGATTACGGTGTAATGACTTATATAGAACAGTTTCGGATAATGACATGATTCATTATAGTTTTCGTTTCTGTGAAGTTTGCGTTATACTTCAGGAATTGATTGCCTTCAAGGCTATAGGTTAATCACTAGATTTTGGTCACTGGAATATTCCCAGTTTATAGATTACGTCACAAGGATAACTAAGGAAAGACCAGACAATAAACATATTTAACTTTTCAAAAGCTTAGAAAATCAACCGGTTAGTTCATATGATTGTGTTTTAATATAATATGAATTTTTCAGCGGTTAATACTATACATTCCATTTTAGATAATTGGCAATTGAACATTAAGGTAAACTAATATTACCCATGATAACTAACTGATATCATTACATTTAAAGTATATTCCTAGTTGAAAACATTGAATTATGACCATTGAAAGTTGAAAGGATAGCAAATAACTAAATTGGTATATAATTCCCATTTAAACATTAAAATTAAAACACAGATTTCAGCGAAGGGATCTCTTTTCAACGAATTTATTATCAAGCTGTACAATCGTATATATATATATATATGAAAATGTTTTGTTAAAGTACTAATTCCGTGAGGAAATGTGAACACTAATAACCAAGATTATAATACTGGATTACGTAATACGAATAATAATAACAATAGATTTAGTGAATAGAATAAGACGAATAAAATGTTTTGTTTACAATAATTAAAGGTCATAGAGGTGTAAAATAACCTTCACTAGTAAGAACTTATTTTCTGTGTCCATAAAAGATAAGCTCCAGCGGTTGGTCGCCTCCATGTGCATCTACCAGTTCACCTGCTCTTGTGGAGCAAGGTACATCGGCCGTAGCCAGCGCTCGCTTTCAACCCGGATACGAGAACATATACCAGCTTGGTTCTACAATGGTGGAAAGAAAGCAGTTCGAAGTTCTATACTCGAACACCTAATCGACTGTAATCATTCGACGAATCCACAGTCTGATTTTAAGGTTGTTTATATGATTCGTTCAAATCTACCAAGATTTCTTCGGATCAAACTTTTAAAAATAGCCGAAGCTCTTACCATCCATGAGCGCAAACCAGAACTATGCGTACAAAAGAAGTACGTTTTATCATTATCGTTACCATGGCCTTAATATTATTATTATTATTATTATTATCATTCTTATCATTATTATTATTACTCCATTCCCCTTTACTTATGTTTTATATTCTCATTATTTTATTCATGAATACTCATCACCTTATTTATTTATTTATTTTACACCTCTATGACCTTTAATGACCTTTAATTATTGTAACCAAAACATTTTATCCGTCTTACTATATTCACTAAATCTATTGTTGTTATTCATATTACGTAATCCAGTATTATAATCTTGGTTATTAGTGTTCACATTTCCTCACGGAATTAGTACTTTAACAAAACATTTTCATATATATATACGATTGTACAGCTTGATAATAAATTCGTTGAAAAGAGATCCCTTCGCTGAAAATAACTAAATGTCAACTAAAAATATCTTTATTATATAGTATTTATAAGTAATTTGAAGTTTATATTTTTTTAATTCATAGTGTGGTGTGTGTTACTTATATTGACATAAGTAGTATAAATCGTGCGTCAAGAGTAGAATATCTGTCAGCTGAAGATTGAGAAAATCCAGAAGAAAAGAAAAGAAACAGAAAACAATTAGTATGGAGATGAAAAAACAGTGAAGTCCAAGACGATTGATTAACATATGCAAAAGGAACAGTCAACTTCGATTGATATTTTGCAAATTAAGTATTTATTATATAAGGGGTTTTGTGGAGATTTAGTATTTATTATAGTTGAAAGCGTGAGTCAATTGAAGCTAGACCACCATGGAAAATCTGGAAACACTGGACGGCCGTTTCGTCTTATTATGGGACTCCCCAGCAATGCGCATCCACGAACCAGCTCTCGCGAGATTCGAATCCAGGACCTACCAGTTTCGAGCCGAAGCCCTTAACCGATAGACCACTGAGTTGGCATCCAACGGTGTTAATGTCTAACTTCAACTGATCCACGAAGTTGAGCAACAGACGTGGTTTTGAACTCCACTGGTCACTGCTTCTCACTAGAGCTCTTAGATATACTTCTCGAAGTCACTAGTGAGCATATGATAATATTAATTATAGTAGGGGTTTCGTGGAGATTTAGTATTTATTATAGATGAAAGCGTGAGTCAATTGAAGCTAGATGAAGCTGAGTAGTCCCATTATAGGACGAAACGGCCGTCCAGTGTTTCCAGGTTTTCCATGGTGGTCTAGCTTCAATTGACTCACGCTTTCAACTATAAGTATTTATTGTTCGATTTTCAAATTGTACTAAGACGTTCTGTAACTCTGTATTCCAATGCATTTGATTGTCCCCAGTGGTGTTTATATACGAAACAATAGAATCACAAAAAATGGGTATAACAAAATAAACTTGATAAATCTCTGTTTAAATTTTGAGTTTAACCAAATTTATATACGGTGAGTAGTTTCAAATTTGAATAAAATAATTTTATTCATTTCTTTTAAATAATTCATTCACCAATATTAAATAATGAATAAAAGGGATCTTTAAGTAGAACAACCTACAGATTATTATCCTATGTTAAATTTAAATGATTAATTTTAATAGTTGAAATGATGTATCAATTAAAGCTAGAATACCATGAAAAACCCTGGAAACACTGAATGGCGGTTTCATCCTATTGTGAGACTTCTCAACAGTGCGCATCCAATATCCCACCTTTTGAGATTCCAACCCAGGACCTATCAGTCTCACGCGCGAACGCTTAACCTTTAGACCACTTAGCCGGCATCCAATGTTTTAATGTCTAGCGTCAACCAATCTACGAAATTGAACAACCATTCACCAATGTCTTCAGTGAGTTGATATCTCAAAACAGACCTAGTTAAACTCCACTTGTCACTGCTTCTCACTAGATTTCCAGGAAGTATCTCCTAAATCCAGATTTCATTATATTTATTTGTTTATTTAAATATGCACCACTGAGCAAGCATCCGGCCGTCTAACTTCAACAAATCCACGAATTTGAGCAACCATTCACTATTGTCTTCAGATCTGGTTGAACTGCTCACTGCTTCTCAGTAGAATAACAAGAAATATCTCTTAAGCCAGTCACTAGTGAGTATATGAATACTATAAGAAAGGGATTTTGTGGAGATTTCAGTAATTTTATTGTTGCAATCATGACTAGCTTCAAGAGATATTTCCTGGAGTCCTAATGAGAAGCATTGACCAGTCAAGTTCAACAAGATCTGTTTTGAGATATTAACTCAATGAAGACAATGATGAACGGTTCCTCAATTTCATGGATTAGTTCAAAAAGAAGGAAAGAAACCTAAGACAAACACCTTCCCCCTCCCAACTAATACAATCAACTTACTAATTTTCCATCTAATGTATATAATTTATGTATTGGTATTTGAAATAAATTATTTAATTCTTGTAATACATGTTCAATTGTTTTAATATATTTTGTTTTAATTATTAAAGATTTCATGATATTAAATTGTTTATTTAAATATACATGGATACGTTTATTCATTTGTTTTAATTGTTTACATATATTAATATCATTTGAATTTTGAATAATCAATTTATCAATCATTGGTAATTTAATCGATTTATTGATTAATCGATTATTATTATTGTTTAATTGATTTTTTGTCGAAATTAATGAATATTTATTACATTTTAATGGATTACATAATAATACTGATGATGATGATGGTGCTGGTGGTGGTGATTGATTACGTAATAATCTATAATCAATATATTTATTTTGTTGTAAATCATTCATTGATTTTACTTTATTGATTTTTTGTGATTTATATAATAATAATAATGATGATGATTGTTTCTTAGATAATTGATTTAAATTAGTTTCTAAACTATGATGAATATTGGATTGAACAATTAATGGTATATTATTTAATTGATTATTGATATTGTTATGATTATCTGGATAAAAATAGATAGTTTTAATGATTGGTAATATTTTATTAGGGGAATTATATATAGAATCTGGTGTAACACTCATAGATCGTTGTTGTTGTAGTAGTTGACGATGATGATGATGATGAGAGGTATGAGAGGTATTATTATTCCGTTTTGTTCTCTCTATCATCTTTTTTTGTCTATCAATACTACTTATATAATTAAGTAGTCAAGAAGAATTGATGAATGATTTTAAAATAAATGTTTTTCTTTCATTGATAATAGTTACATGGTTATATATGTTATTGATTGTATCTGTATTGTTTGAAAATTTGGGAACTTTTTTTGGAATGATTAAACATTAGAAAATAAAGTTGTTGCTAGAAGGGATTCGAACCTAGGACTTTCGGTCTGGTGAACGAATATTCCAATACTCCAATAAAGTGAATTTACATATATATGTATGTGTAGATATTTATATAGATATACTCTACAATATTGAATCATAATATAAATTTAATATGAATTATATTACTAATTCTTTTTGATAATCAGTAGTATTCTACATTATAATAAAAAATTTCCATAGATAGAATGAGTATTTCTTTATTATAATACACTGAAATTATTCACTATTAATGATTTTAATTAGGAGATGTATTTCGGTTATTCAAATGGGTTTTTCTTTTTTAAGTTTATTCTAAAAATTCAATCATATTAATAGTGATATCATTAGTATAATAATGGACACTGGGTACCACTTAAAGTTTATAAACATATATATATATATATATATATATATATCCCATGGAAACAAACCCCTACACGTATATATATATATATATCCCTTATATAGTAAATATAAATATTTCGATCTACTCAAAAATAAAATTTTGATTGGGGAGATATATTTTTTTATTGAATAAATAAATAACTATGTATAATAGGGGGTGGGTGGGTGTTTGAATAATATGAAATCGTGGTAAGTTATATTTATCAATGTTTTAACGAATGAGTTGCATAGCAACGTAAATATTCTTTTCATTAGAATGTGTGTATCCTCATTTTGCATACATACATCATGTACATACATACATACGTACATACAGATATATTTACTTATGAACAAACACCTTTATGTATGTAATGATAAATTAAAGACGAGTAATGATGTTTAGTAAATACTTCTTTCAGTTCAGTGGTAAACATAAAGTAATTTAAGTAGAAAATTGACCATAATCATGAATTCTAACTATACCTCAAGCATATCATGATTAGAAAATTACATTTTTAATTATAAAATCAATAATATTACTTATGGGGTATGGGTAGGAGTTTGTTTACTATTTATTACCATATTAGCTTTAACAAATAGAGTCGTTATATGTAATACCGACATGAATGATAATTGATGTTTCAACATTCTATGTTTTAAACATTTTCAATGGGCTAAAAACTTGAAAGTGGTCTATCGGTTAAGTGATCCGGCGCGAAGCTGTTAGGTCATGGTTTCGAATTTCGCAAGGCAGGATAGTGGATTTGCAGTGCTGAGGAGTCACATAATACGGTGAAACTGCCGTCTAGTGCTGTCAGGTTTTCCATGGTGGTCTAACTTCAATTGACTCATGATTTTAAATATGAAAAAAAAAATTTAAAAATATACGACACAACAGAATTAGATTACTTTTTCATTGTTATACAAAATTAAAATGAAACTTCAGTTTAGTGAATTCTATGTGCGAGATCATGGATGAGTGCAGCTGGGAAATCTTACACTAGAATAGAACGGCTGTCCCATGCTTCCAGATTTTCAATGGTTTTCATGATCTCAATCAAAACTTAACAATCTTTACAATTTTGTACTGATGAAATGAAATTGTTTACATTCTCCACATAGCGACTATTTTAAATATGATACTATGGATATAGCAAAGTATGTTAGACACGTAAAATTTATGGTAAAGTTAGTTTGCATATAACTGATAAGTTTTGATCATATTCAGTCACTTATCGAAATAAATTGAATCAAATCATGTTGACGTTTATACGAAACCATATCAGTCACAAAGTTACTTTATTTCGTTTAATGGTCAACTTATAGATGTAGAAAATGAAACGTTACTAGGATCAAGAATTAAACAACCTAGCAATGGATCAGAAGGGGTTATTGTAGATATTTCAATATTTTCATAGTTGAAATCATGATTCTATTGAAGCTAGACCACCATGGGAAACCTTGAAGCACTGCTTTAAGGCCATTTCGTCCTATTATGGGACTCTTCAACAGTGGTCACCCACCATTCCACACCCGCGAGATTCAAACCTAGGACCTACCAATGGTTATCGTTTAATGATGATAATTTAGATATTTGAGAAATTCTCGACTGATAAATTATTTATGAATAAGACCTAAAAATTATTTTTATATACCTAACTTGGGACACATAGACTACTTGTTGATATGATTTATAAGTAGTTTCATTTAGTGAAGATGAAGAAAATGCTTTTTCTGGGTTAAGTATTATATAAATCTAATAAATGAAAGCTTTTATAGTACTCGAAAAATTGCTATCCTTGGATTAAACTTGGAACATCATTAATAGGTTACAACTGTGACTTTCAATTCGAATCGTGAGTGACTAGTTAATATGAGATTCTTACATAATCTATTAGTATAGTAATAGTAAGTAGTATTATAGAAAGTAGAAATGAAGTTTATTAAGAAAGAAAGCTTGACATTTTTGAAGAATTCTGGTTGATATTAGAAGATTGTAGTGGTAGAATTCATCAGTCATTTTATTAAATCTTGAATTCAGACCCAGGACCTTCGGTCCCGCGAAAGGGATGGTGAATGTACACTGCTTAGGAGTCCCATACATACTGGGACGAAACGGCAGTCCAGTGCTTCCAGATTTTACATGGTGTTCTGGGTTTAATCGATTCACGAATTTTGATTAAGTTTATAAAATTTTATTCAAAAATCTTCCTGAAATTCAGATGAATTCGCTGCACGTGCATATCGTCATCTTGTGTTGCCTATCCGAGAAAGAAAAGTCATGTGAACTATTAGGGTCATCACTTATAACAAAGAAGTAAATTACGTTACTGTAGTGGGAAAGATTTTTAACCATGTGATAAGCCTTATGTTTCGATTTTTTGTTTAGGGAAAATACACATTACATTCATTTACATTGGATAGACGATATTGTTGTTTTTTTTTTAACCAAATTATTGTTGTTGACCCTAGTAATACGTATGAAATGGGTAAACATATCTGTCTTATATAAACTGTTGTTGATTTTATGAAATGACTTTGTTTATTCTATCGGTCAGTTATAGAATGAGATCATGTGAATTTGATGAAAGTTATGACACGAACATGTACATCCAAATGTTCAATGGAAATATAAGAACTTTTGTTTAAATTTGATCAAATAGTTTGACAGTATTTTGGGCGCCGAGTTGATGTGAGACATTGAAAAGGAAGAATGTATTTGTTGAATATATCAGTAAATGAATTTGAAGTAAATTCAACGTTTCACCTGGTAATCTGAAAATATAAAATCTCCACAAAACCACTTCTGATTATAATCATGTGCTCACTAGTGACTGACTTCAAGAGGTAATTCCTGGAGTTCTAGTGAGAACCAATGAAAAGTGGAGTTCAACCAAGTCTGTTATGAGATAGGAACTCACTGAAGACAATTGCTGAACAGTTGCTCAATTTTGTGGATTGGTTGAAATGAGACATTAACACCGTCGGATGCCAGCTCAGTGGTCTATCGGTTAAGTGCTCTGGGGTGAGACTGGCAGGTCCTGGGTTCGAATCTCATGAAGTGAGGTCGTGGATGCTCACTGCTGAGGAGTCCCACAATATGACGAAACGGCCGTCCAATGTTCCCAGGTTTTACAACTATGAAAATACTAAATCTCCACAAAACCCCTTATGATTATAATCTGATCCCAGCTTTTTTAAATAAATATAATCAAACATCAAAATTATCAAATATAAATCGGTACATTGTTCTCTGGTTAACTATATAATGAATAGGTCATCCAATCAATGTTAACAGTGTTTAAAGTAGGTATTCGCTTTAGTGTGTAAGAGACATATGACGTGGAACGAAAAGTGTGTTCAGATAACAGATTGTGAGATTACGTAATTGGTGTGAGAAGAAATTTCATTTACTATATATTGTCCTCTATAATGTTCAGTGGACATGTTGAAATGCTAAAAGGTTCTAAAACAATTCAATGTTTAATATCAGAAAAGGTTTTTTGTGGAGATTTAGTATTCGCACAGCTGAAAGCATGAGTCGATTGAAGCTAGACCACCAAGGAAAACCTGAAAGCATTGGACGGCAAGACAGGTAGGTCATGGGTTCAAATCTCGCGAGGCGAGATCGTATATGCGCACTGCTGAGGAGTCTCACAGTGGGACGAAATGGCGATCTAGTGCTCCCAGGTTTTCCCCAGTGGTCTAGCTTCAAATGGTTCATGCTTTCAACTATGCAAATCGAAAATTTCAAAACATGATACTTACATTAATAGTCTAATCGAATTAACACTTGTATGTATAACTTGAAAAAAAAGTTTGAATGTCTCAATTAACTTAACTTAAAAGTGCGTTTTATTTAAAAATTAAAATAAAAATATGATTTTATTTAGTGTTCGATTATAATATAAATTGTTGGGTAGAACGTTCAGTACGGCCGAGGGTAGGAAGAGTCCACTATCCCCTCCCGAAACGCCTACACATCCTCGGCCAGGGAAGTCTTACACACTGCATTCTTGCAGCGGTGTTGTTGTTTACAA